AGAGAGAGAGAGAGAGAGAGAGACAGAAGTTGGTAAAAATTGTTGCGTGAATCTAGTCTTCAAAGTCTTGGAGCTGTGGTATGACTGGCGTATGTAGTTTATGTGTAGCGAGTTGTTAGTGAGGACGGGTTTCGCCTTGGAAGATGTTTGCGTGCTAAATTTATATCAGTTCATAATGGCAAATATTCAGTCTTGAAATGTCATAATGCAAGAATCATTGCTGTAAGTTTCTGTGTGCGAACAGCGATCTTGGTGGGCTGTCATTAGGTTACGGAATTATGGGGTGTTCTCGTTTGTCGGTTGAGGTTATGTGTCGATGATTCTCGAGGAATCAAATAAATAAACGCCACGAGGCGTTTACGGCATTGATAAGTGACATTTATATACTCAGAGGTGTGTGTGGTGTTCATGGAATCTGTAACGCCGGATGGGGAGGAACACGATGATTGGTATTGGTCTGACGAGGCGTGGTTCCATCTCGATGGGTACGTCAATGCCCAGAATTCTCGACTACGGGCCGCGAAAAACCCACGTGAGCTGCATGAGTCGCCTCTGCACTCACGGAAACTTGGTGTCTGGTGTGCCATGTCATGTAGACATTCTTCCATCACACAGTGAACAGTGACCGGTACGTTACGATGTTGCAAGAATTTGTCATAACGTTATCGGCAGAAACTTTAACAGGAAACTATGTTGTCCCGGTCTAACGAGTTCGAAGGCAGTGGTTACGTTATCAATGAATTCCTTCAATTTCTTCCTATCGCCTCCGAAATGCTACAGTACAGTTCGCCACTGCTTCCTACCATTTCTTCAGAATCTGATCGGCTCATGCTGATCAAATATGGTGGCTGTTCACTATTACTATACTTCTCAACCATTTGGCCAAGGCTTGCTTTCTGCAAGGGTTAGCTAACGAGAGAATTCAAACGATCGTCAGCGCAAAGGGCGAATCGGTGGTACTATCAGTGTGCATAGATGCAGCACTAGAGGAAGAGTCAGCAATCTTGTCTGTTAAAGAAAGAGGTTTCACGTCGCCAAAGTTTAAACGAGGGCCCGAGATAGCCAATAGAGCAACAGGAAATCATGGGAATATGATTAAAGGATCCGGTAGAGAGTTCGGATTTGCAGACCGAGATGTTAATAGAGGATTAACACGTCCTGGACGCGGGATCGGTGTAGACGTACGCAAGGGTACGGGAACTAATATGCATGTAGTTGCGAGAGCTACAGACACGAGGATTATTTGCCACGCGTGTGGAGAGAGGGGCCACATTAAGATGAAGGAGGATGTAGAAGCCTTCATCAAGAAAAGTGCCAGAATAACAAACTGACACAATGTCACGCCAGAATGCCCTTCCGTAGTTTTTGAAAAATACATAGTAGATATAGTAGGCCCCTGATGGTTCAGGTTACGAAGATAGTGACGCTAACAGACCAGAGTATGAACATAGACACGCTATAGCGAAAAGAGAGGTCAGCAAATTGCAAACAGAAAGTTTGGACAGATACACCAGTAATATAGAATATGTAAGATTTGAGGTTTTCACAGTCGAGATTCGAAGCTCTTCGCATCACGAAAGCAAAACGTCTCTGCTCCCTCTCCTTCCTACTACGATGCAGGGACCAAGGGACCGTCCCGCACTATCTGCAATTTCATCACCATATCCATTCCGAGGCCGCCAAGAGGATCTATCGGAAGACGAGCTTCTGCCTACTACGGGAGCGTATACACCACACGCGGCGCGAGTTGGATGCGATCTCCCGGGACCTGTTGGGCATGCACCTCCGCCTCGCTGCGGAGCTGTCCACCGCGGACTGGGCCCTCATCGACCGCATCACCTTCGAGAGGGCTTCACGTGCTGCAGCTGACGACAAAGTCAGGCAGTGCCACAAGTTCCAACGACTGCATGGAGCTCAGCATGCAGGCCCGCGGACCGACACCAAGAAAACGGTAGTTAACCTAAGCGGTAGGCCACTGGAGGATGCTGCCTACGCAGCCCTGGGCAAGGGCCTGAACTATTCAGTGGCCCCTACGGTGTTGCCCATCGAGGATTTCCTGAGCGGTGTTAAGAGAGCTGTTCGCTCCCTACCTGTGGAAGCGGCCGAGGAGGTCCGGAAAGAGACCGTTTTCGTATCCTAAGAGCCTCCAAGAAGCCGAAAGACAATCTGTCAGGAGCTGAGAGGAGAGCTCTCCGAGCCCTGCGAAATAACGCGGACCTCACGGTCCTTCCGGCTGACAAGGGCAGCGCGACGGTTGTCCTTAGCACTGACGATTACAACAGGAAGATCCGAGCCCTTCTGGAAGCCCCGACGTACAGGTTACTGCCCAAGGACCCTAAGGAAGCCGTAGAACGGAAGACCACCCTACTCCTCAAGAAGTCACCACTTCCATAGGAGGTCATCCACCAGCTACGCCCCCACGGTTCGAGGCCCCCTAGACTGTATGGTCTACCTAAGATCCACAAGGAAGGAGCTCCTCTCAGGTCCATCGTAAGCACCATCGGTGCCCCAACCTACCGCCTTGCTCAATATCTCGCGAGACTACTCGGTGGATTGGTGGGGCACCCTCCACGTCACGTGAAGAACTCCACTGAATTCATCAATGCCATCAAGTCGCTCAGCGTAGGCGTAATTAATCAACTATGCTATTCACACGCCATACACTTAGCAGTTACTGACGTGTTATATAAAAATAAAGAAATTGCTGAAACCGATGTATATGTTACAAGTGAG